CTGAGTACTAGGATTATTCGGTTTTGGTTAAGAGAGAGTCCCACTATGTAGCTCAAGCTGACTTAAAATCTACTCCATGTGTTCAAATCCAGGCTAGCCTTGAACTCAGAATCTTCCTGACCCAAAGCCCCAAGTGTCAGGACTACGCAGATGTGTGGCCAACGCATTCAGCTCTCAATCCTCCCCTGATACCAAATAAGTCATAGCCATCAAAGAACATGGGAAAGGTGCCATGTAAAATGCTCCCCCAGGAGGATGATGGGCAGTTAAAGCTGGAAAGGGTGCTGTGTGCCAAGTCCCACAGGACGGCAAGACAAACAGACAGTTCTGGTCCCAGGCTGGCTACATTTCCATCTTGTTGGACTCATTGTTATTTTCCTCTTCTCTTATTCTTTTCTTTTGGAGACAGAATCTCACTTTTTAACCAGCTACCCTGGAACATATTATGCAGACCAAGCTGCTGGTGTAGAACTTGCAACAATCCTCTTGCCTCAGCCTCCTGAGTGCTGGGATTAGAAGTGGGAGCCACCATACCCAGGGTTATTTTCTTCCTTAGAGTTCCCTCTTCCCTTTGGCGGGCTGGCCGCCAGACTCTGTCTCTATTGGCAGCCACAGGAAGCCAAAGCAACTGTGAAGTAATACTTCTGCCCGGGGTTGGCTCCACCCTGTTGACCAAGGTTCTTTTTTTTATATATATATATAGCTATGCTCAGCCAACTTCTTTTAATGCTTTGCCTAAAAAGGAGTTCTCACCCAGCCTTGCTGCAGAGGGAAATGGCTGACTGCCCTAGAGGTTCCGGACATAGAGCTTTCGGGGGATGGAGACGTGGCATTAGCTACACTTCAGAGGTTTGAGGGTTTCACCTGGCAGCCACTGTCCAACAGGAAGCTCATTTCCCAAAAGCAGATGTCAAAGGAAGAGCTGGATTCTGTGAAAGGCCCTCTAACCGTGTGATCCGACGAGGCAGTTTCAACACATATTTGCATGGAGGAAGTATGACAGTTTTCATAGCTCTATGACCGGAAAGAAATTCAAGTTACACCTACAAAAAAAAAAAATCTATAGGAAAGTAATTTTTTTCTTTTTAAAAATCTGAACCCATCTAAAATAGGATATTTAAACAAGCCTCATGCTTTATTGCTTCTTTCTTTCTTTCTTTCTTTCTTTCTTTCTTTCTTTCTTTCTTTCTTTCTTTCTTTCTTTCTGTTGTTTTGGTTTGTGTGGTTTCTTAGAGGCACGGTCTTATGCTGTAGCCCAGGCTGGCTTAGAACTCACTATTTTGCCCAAGCTGGCTTTGAACTCTTGATACTTTTTCTTCCTCAGCCTCCTGAGGAGTGAGATTGCAGGCTTAGGCCGCCACACCTGGCTTCTACATTGTTTTTGTGAGTGTACAGGCACATCTGTGTATCCACGTTCACGTGCATGTGGGCATTCATGTGTGGGGTGTGTGTGCTTGTGCCTGTGTGCACACAAATATGCATGCACAAGTGGAGGCCAGCACTAAACCGAAGCTTAGCTTTCTGCCTGATTTATGTATTTACTTACATACTTTTCAACAGGGTCTTCAATTTCTTTCTTAGAAATTTATTATTTATTTTATATGTATGGGTATTTTGCCTGCACACATGTATGAATGAATTTACGTATGTATGTGCACCATAGGTTTGTAGTGCCCATGGAGGCCAGAAGAAGGTACTGGATCCCCTGGAACTAGAGTTAAGAGATGATGGTGGGCCGGCCTGTGTGTGTGCTGGGGATTCGAACTCTGATCCTCACTTTCCAGCAGCAAGGACTTTTTATCCAATGAGTCATCTCCCCAGCCCAGTGCTCTTTGTGTTTCTCTATGTGATGGTTGCTCATTCACTGCTGGCTTGCATTCTTCATGGCTTTTCCTTAGAGGTGGGGATACCTTTTCTGTTGGGAGGACCACCCAACACTTCCACTTAGTGCTAGCTGGCTCTGTGTGTCAGGTTCCCTCCATTTGGCTTTGCATCTCTGCCTAGCTCCTTGGAGTGAGCTCTTTGGCCATTTTTTTCTCAGCTTTTGCCCCTGGATGCTGGTCCTAAGCTTCTCCATAATGGTTACAGGGTGGATCTTGTTCTACCTCAGACACTACAGAGACTGGATTGCCAGAGTCAGTGCAGAATTGAGTGCTCCCCTGTCTGGAGAAAGACTTGGGACCTTTGCCTGGAGCCCTCTAAAAGTAGCTGTAAATGCTGAGTGCAGAGATCAGCACTTCCTGTGGACTGATAGTAAAGATCTCTTTTCTAATTACAAAAGTAATAAATGTGTTTTATTAACACAGGCGCCTTCCTAAGTACAGAAATGTATAATTTAAAAATTTATGTTGCTGGAGTGGCTCAGTGGTAGAGGGCTTGCCCAGTACTACAAGACCCTAGGTTTGGTTCCCAATACAAGAAAAGAAGGAAGGAGGGACAGAGAAAAGGGAGGGAGGGAGGGAGGGAAGAAGTTGGGAAGAAGGAGGGAGAAAGAAAAAAATAAAATTCAAGATTCTTATAGTGATAGCAAACAAAAATTAACACACACTGTTTTAATACACATAAAAAAATCTTATTGTTTTTATAAAGTTAAAATGAAGCCAGGGTGTTGATGGCGGCTCATGCCTTTAATCCCAGCACTTTGAGGCCAGCCTGGCCTACAGAGCAGTTTTCAAGACAGCCAGAGCAACACAGAGAAACTCTGTCTCAAAAACAAAACAACACCAAAGCTAAAAATGAGTTACATGCATGCTCTTCTGAAACTTGTATGTTTTCTTTACCAGTATATCTTGGATAGATTAAAAGTCAGCGTGGACATATTTATCCCACGATTCTGTGTTGTCCTAGCTTATAGATGTTCCAGGGTATAATGTGCTATAATTTGTTTACTTAGTTTGCTGCATTAGACTTCGGACTATTTCAGTTTTGGTTTTTTTGGGGGGTGTTTTTCTGCTTAACAAACAGTTCAATATTGAACATCCCTGTGCAAACATCTGTTTGCTCATGTGTCAGTATTTCTGTGGAAGTACCCACTATTCTAGAACAACCAGGGCCACACACACAGAGAAACCCTAACTTGGAAGGGAAAAATGTGCATTTTAAGTTTTAATAAGCATTGCTAAATTGGGTGCCCATGTACCCTTTTGCAATCTACCTAGAAGTCCAAGAGGTCGTGTTTCCCCAACTACCTAGTAACATTGCTATTACCCAGTTTTATGGAGTTTAGTTTCATTTGTGTTTTCTTTTGCTGTTAGTAAAGTTGAATGTCTTTAAAAATCGTTTGGAGGGCCGAGGAGATGGCTCAGAGGGCAAAAGTGCTTGCCGCACAAGCCTGAGAGTCTGGGTTCAAATCCTGGAACCCATGTTAGAAGCAGGATGCAGAGACTCCCTCCAATCTGTAACCCTGGTACTTCTATGGTGAGATGGAGGTGGAGGCGAGAAGGGCCAGAAGTTCACTTAAGCAAAGCAGCAGCAGAGGCAAGAGAGACTCTACTTGCTAACGATGGGAAGAAGGCTGCACCCTAACCTCACCTGAGCACCACGGCACACACACGCTTGTGCCCGCCCCTGCCACCAAACAAATACATCTTAGAAAAATGTTTTTTGTTACACACAGATATGTGTAGCTGTCCCCTCTCACCAAAGAAGCCTCTCTCTGCAGGAAAGAGGCCCCCACAGAAAGCCACAAGTGGTTAAAATACAGAAAACAAACAAACAAACAAAACCCAGTAGCAATGGCTGATCATAGGATGCCTGGCCCCATCTACCACACAACTCTTGCACCTAAAGTTCAGGGATCATTACAGGAAAGGTAACAAAAACATTTTAAGAACCAGAGGGCCAGGAAATCTGCTGTGAGGTCACAATCTCTTAGAAATGACAGGGAGGCTGGGCCCATGATAACGCAATAATATGGTTGCTTAAACCAGACCTGAACGTGATGTGGGAAGTCCTTCTGTCTATGTGTTGCTTTTATTGGTTAATGAATAAATCGGATTCAGCCAGTGGCTTAGCATCATAGAGCTAGGTGGGAAAACTAAACTGAATTCTAGGAGAAAGAAAGCAGAGTCAGAGAGAAGCCCACGGTAGCTGCCACCCGGGACAGATGTGCCGGAACGTTGCTGGTAAGCCACAACCACGTGGCAATACACAGATTAATAGAGATGGGTTAATTTAAGATATAAGAGTAAGCTAGAAATTCATTTAAGCTATTGGCAAAACAGTATTGCAAATAATATAGTTTCTGTGTGATTATTTTGGGGTTTAGCAGCCGGGAATGAACTAGCAGCTTCCTGACAATGTGAGCAAACCACTGAGAGTGGAAACATTAGCTGGGCATGGTATGCATGCCTTTAATCCAGCACTTGTGAGTTTGAGGCCAGCTTGGTCTACAAAGTGAATTCCAGGACAGCTAGGGTTACACAGAGAAACCCTGTCTCAAAAACTGAGAGAGGGAGAGAGAAGTGGGGAAGAGACAGAGAGAGAGAGAGAGAAAGAGAGAGAGAGAGAGAGAGAGAGAGAGAGAATATTAGAATATTAGTGTTTTTCAGGGATGAGCTCCTAATTGATTATCCAATATCAGGGATGAGCTCCTAATTGATTATCCAATACCAAGTGGTCAGTCCTGAAATCGGGACTTTCCTATACACTCTGAAAACAGATACTTCATTCTTATTATTTACCTTAACAGGATGGCAATGTTCGATGAGGACACAGCTACAAGCAGTCAGCTTGGTAGGGTTTTAGCTTTTAGAATTCTCTCACCTCTGGGCTGGACACCTCAGACGGTGAAAAGCCTAGGTCATCACAAGGCATTTTTTTTTTTTTTTTGTCTATTACCTGCCCTTGCTGTTTGCTCTTGTTATCCTAGCTGAGTGGGTCTGGGGACATAGGCCTGTGATCCCAGCTACTTGGGATGCTGAGGCAGGAGGACACACAAGCTCAAAGCCAGCCTGGGCAATTTCCTGAGACTACCTCAAAAGAAAAGGTAAAATGTGGGATGGGATGTAGTTCAGTGACAGAGCCTTTGTTCCAGGATATGTGGTGCCCTGTGCTAGAAAGAGGAAGGGAGTGAGGAAAAGAGGGAGAAAAGAAAGGAAGGAAGGAAGGAAGGAAGGAAGGAAGGAAGGAAGGAAGGAAAGAAGGAAGGAAGGAAGGATGGAAAGTGGGTGGTGGAGGCAAGTAAGCGAGCAGTCCAAGGCAAAGAAACCCACAATGTTTTCTGGTGACCTAGTGGTAGGATTTGGCGCTCTCTCCACTGCAGCCTGGGTTCAATTCCTGGACAGAGAAGTCTTTTTCTGACAACTGGAGATGTAGCTCAGTGGTAGAGAGTTTTTCTGGCATGTTAAAATCCAACACTGATATATATATATATTAGAGAGAGATATAGATATATAGATGGACGGACGGACAGACAGACAGAGTTAGCACTTTCTTGACACTGGGTTTAACTAAAAACTGACTCTTTCAAGGAGTGTTCCGTGTCTCCCTAACTCCCAAAGCACTTCTCTTTCAGGTGCAGGATGGATCTGCCTTTCTCTGGGTTCCGGGCACCTCTCCTTGCCCATCTCTTTCTTTGGTGTATGTGAGGTGCTGGTCATTGTACCCTTCAGACTCACATTCCATACATCTGTGAGCCGGCGCCTTGTTTCTGCCGAGTGACTATTCACCAGCTAGTGACCTGGTGTCCTTTCTTGTCTCCCTGCCTACTTCCTTCAGCTTTACATTTCCCTTATCAGCTTCTTCAGAGAGGACCACAGCTGGCTTCAGTTTCTCTCCCTCAGCTCAGTTATTTGTGCTCACCTGATCCTTCCTCTTGGGAACTTGCATGTTTGCTTTGTTTAAATATTTTATCCACACCTCTCTTATTCTTTCCAATTAATCTTTATTCCTCATTTATCGATTTTTAGGGTTACTTCCTTTTCTGGTCTTGCTCTTTTGCTATAGCAAAAAAAAAAAGAACTAATATGCACCAATTTTGCAATAACGTTTAGAATTCCTTTATGGAAATGGTGTCTGAGGCCCTTTAAATGCAGTGGGGCTTTGTTTATTGCCTATTATATTGAAATAACATAGTTTTCATTGCTATTAAGGGGAGAGAGCTGAGGGCCAGGACGAGAACCCGTCCAGGAGGACCACTCTCAAGGGCTGGGATTAGCTGGATTACTTGTTCCTTCCTTTCCCTTTCTAGCTTGCTTTTGTGATTTGCTTTCATATATTTTTTCAGACTTTTTTTTTTAAGATTATTTATTTATTTATTTATTATGTATACAACATTCTGCCTTGATGTATGCCCACACGCCAGAGGAGGGCGCCAGATCTCAGTACAGATGGTTGTGAGCCACCATGTGGTTGCTGGGAATTGAACTCAGGACCTCTGGAAGAGCAGCCAGTGCTCTTAACCTCTGAGCCATCTCTCCACCTCCCTCAGACTTTTTTTGAAGCAGGAACTTGCTATGTAGCTCAGCTGGCCTGGAAGCATGGCTTTGCTGTTTCAGCTCCACCCCCGGGGTTCTGGGAATCTACCTATGAACCCATCTTTGCTTTTGCTGTAGTATTTATTGCTTCCAAACCTCATTCACTTTCCTTGAATCCTGTTTTGTTCTGTTTTTGGAAAATGAGTAGATAAATGGAAGGAACGTGGACTTTGAACTATAAATAAACTCAAGTTTCAACACTATCTTTCCACGTACTAGACATGAGTTCTCGGGCAAGTTACACTTTTAATTTTTCCTTCTGACCACTGAGTTTTAAAATATAAATCACAGTTTTAAGGCACATTGCTTTCTAGAGACACCCAACAAGTTTATTTATTATTTCCTTACACCTTTGATTTTCTCTCACACTCTTTCTCTAGTCTCTTACAATTTGTGAATTTTTTAAAAGAATATTTGAGATAGGGTTTCTTTGTGTAGTCCAGGCTATCCTGGGACTTACTCTGGAGACCAGGCTGGGCTCAAACTCAGAGATCCACTTGCCAGTTCTTCTTGAGTGCTGGGATTAAAGGCATGTGTCATCACCACCACCCAGCTGTGATTGGGTTTGAATGAGTCTATACACTTAAAATTTTGAAAAAGCATTTTCTTCTTCCTGCCTTCTTGATGCAATGTCATCAATGTAATGCAACTGCCAAAAACAATTAGCTTTTACAATCCTGGAAAAAGTGTCAATTCACTGTAGGGAATAAATGTGTCTGGAATCCCAGTATTAGAACCTGAAGGTATAGTTGAGCTCAGCTGCATATGAAGATAAGCAATTTGGTCAAACCCGCAGTGGAGAACATGTGATTCTTAAGGTTTCCACAATGCAGGAGAATACTCTGTATTCTCCCCACCCCCCCTCCCGTGTGTGTGTATGTGTGTGCATGTGTGTGAGGTTTCCACACTGCAGGAGAATACTCTGTAATTTTTTTTCTTTCCCCCGTGTGTGCCTGTGTGTGTATGTGTGTGCATGTGTGTGCATGTGCACACATGCACTAGTTGACACTGGGTGCCTTCCCTAGACTGCTTCTCCACCTTATATTTTCAGACAGGGTCTTTCGTTGAACCCGGGGATCCCGTCTTCTCTGTAGTTTCTGTAGTGCTGGGTTCACAGGCACGAGTCTGTGTGCCAGGCTCTGTGTGTGGGTACTGATCACCTGTCTCATGTTTGTGCTGTCTTCACTTTGGCACAGGGCTGCGCCTTAATCTACTGCCATTTCAGCCAGCAATTGTGACTTTGCAGTTACGGCCTGGCCTGCTTGTCTGGCAGTGGCCCAGCCACTCAGGCTGAAGCCTGGCAGGAATTCTGTTCCCCCCCCCTGCACCAGCTCTGCGGCTGCTGCTAAAGGTGGCATCTTCTGGTGCATCTCTGTCTCTTCTAGATGTTCTCTGATGACTTTCTGTCAACTAGTAGATCATCACTCAGCCTCCTGACCCACGATCAATTTTATTTAGTTAGCACAAATGCAGACTCGGGGTTCACAGTATAAACAAATGTCTCCCAATAAGCTTGTGCAGCAAATATTTTACCAACTGAGCCATCTCTCTAGCACCAAGCACTTTTTGAACTGAGGCATAATTCATATAGCATAAAATGAACTATTCTTAGCTGTACAATATGGTAGTACTTAGTAAATTCACAGTATGGAATGGTCTTGATCACTGGGGGTGTGAGGCTTTCACTTCCTGTGTCCCCTCACACCAGTTCCTGCTAATCGCTGGTTGACTTTCTATCTTGATGGGTTTAGTTTTTTGAATGTTTCATATAGAAGGAAACATACAATGTATGTTCCTTTGTGTTTGGCTTCTTCCACTTAGCATAATGTATAGTTTTCCTGTTCCTACTGCCAGCTCCAAAATAAATGCAGAGCAACTTAATATTAATATAAGTGTTTGGCCAATAGCTCAGGCTTATTACTAACTAACTCTTTCATTTTAAATTAACCCATATTCATTATTTAAGCTCCTCCATGTGGAGATGCCTGCATTGGCATGGCACATTCGTTTCCTGCTCCCTCAGCATCTGAATGGCAACTCCAGACTCGGCCCTTCTTCCTCCCCTCATGCTTAATTTGGCTCTTCTGCTTAACTCTATCCTGTTCAGCTATTGGCTAGTCAGCTCTTTTACTAAACCAATCACAGTGACATATGTTCACACAGTGTACAGAAGTATTATTCCACAGCATTAATGCCTTTGGTAATCAATAAACATTATTAATAAATTTCAAGTATTACAGAAAAGGAAAATGAAGAAAATAAAACATTCTGCAGTCCCAATCAGCTCTGATGAGACCTCTTGCAGTGTGGCTGGTATTGCTAGTGCTACTGTCATATAAACAGGCTAGCACAATTTGTACCCTTTTTTTCTTCCCAGCTCAGTTTTCTATTTCATGCCCTGCATGCAACTTGTTCCTGCTGTCTGCATGTGCATCACTTCCTTCTCTTTTTTAGTATGGGATGGCAGACTAGGTGGTCTGACAAATCTGGAGCAGGATATTCTTTTCTCTCTCCTTTTCCAGTTACTTGCTTAGTAAAATAATTTGCTTTCTAATCCGTCCAGTGTGAGTTATCCTGAAATCCTGCTATTGTAGAAATAAATGGGCAAGGTTTGTATTTCTGCAGAATCAGGGTTGTGTGACAAGACTTTTCCCAGGGAGATGCAACACACACACACACTCACACACACACACACACACACAAACACTCACACCTACTTACCTCAGATAGAGAGCCCACAGCAAACCAAAGAACAGATACCATCAAAGTCCAAATTGGTGAACCAACAAATTATATTGCTTTATAGGAATGTTGGTGAGGAGTTACTTACAGGGCCAGAAGTGATTCAAAGACAGCTGCACCACCAAAGCCCACCCTGTATGAGTGACGACAGCTCGTAAAAGCTGAAAACCTGGAGCTTGCTGCACAGCCTGCACTTGCCGTGGGCCTCTTCCACACAGCTCAGCTGTCCTCTGCTTCTTTCGGGATGCTTGGCTGGTCTCCCAGTCTTCTTTGCAGCTTGGTTCCTCTGAGAGTGATGCTCAGTGGTCTTGACTGTTTCTGCTCGGGGAGGAAGAGGCCTAGTAAATCTGGTGGGCTTCAGGAACTTCCTGAAGTGATTTTTGAGTTGTTTACTTCCTGCCCTAAGTAGCTTCCCTACAAGTTGGAGAGTTTCAGTCTCAGAGGAAACTACTACACGATGGTCAGCTTGGGTGTGAGGAGTTTCACACATCAGTCTGTTGTGTAGCCCTTTCCACTCCACAGGGAAGCTGGTTAAACAGCTCTAAATAACTCTAGGAACTTCCTGAAACTGACCAGATTCACTAGGTCCCTCCCTCCCTAAGAATGTATAAGCAATAACGCCCACAGATAGTTACTGTCCGTCAAGGCCAGGCTAGGAAAAGAAGCAGCAATCAGTTAAACTGAGTTGTCTGGAAGAGGCTCTGGCCAACACCTGGAAAGGATACTCTCCAACAGAACGAGCTGCCTACAGATAGTGCAGTGTGTGTCTGTGAGTCATCACTCGTGCTGGGGGTGCGCTTTGGTGATGCAACTGTCTTTCTTTTTCTATAAGTAACTACAATAAAACTTGTTGGTGAAAGAAAATGAACTGGCTCAGGACCTCCAAGACCAATTTCTCAGCATAAAGGAGTTTTATTGCCCCAGAGGGAGATAGGGCAGGAAGTAAAGAGACAAAGAGAAGAGAAAGAGGATGAGGGAGAGGGGGAAAGGAACAAAGAAAAGCGGGTAGAGATATTTGTCCTGGTGAGACAAAGGACTGCTTCTGGAAAGAGAGGAGTCAGATGTGGCCCACAGGCAAATGGCAGCTTATAAAGGTAAAATGGATCCCCTGTGTTAGGATGGGGTGTTTAATTTTCATTGGACAAGTTTATTAGGCAAGCCAAAGCAGCTTTTGATTGCTGGACTTCAATATTTTGATGCTGGACTTCAATACTTTGATAGCTGGACCTTGGTGGTCTATTTTAGGAGGAGGAAGTGGCCAAATACAGGACTAGACCTTGGTGGCTAGCTTTAGGAATGTAACCCAATGTTTTTTTTTTTAAATATTTATTTATTTATTTATTATGTACACAATATTCTGTCTGTGTGTATGCCCACACACCAGAAGAAGGCACCAGACCTCGTTACAGATGGTTGTGAGCCACTATGTGGTTGCTGGGAATTGAACTCAGGACCTTTGGAAGAGCAGGCAATGCTCTTAACCACTGAGCCATCTCTCCAGCCCCAACCCAATAGTTTTTAGCAGAGGGACTCAGGCAGAAGGGCCCCAGAGCCATGCCTGACATGCTCCAGCTGGCCAGGGTCCCTTCAGTTGGTTCACAAGTTGAACTTTGATGATATCTGTACTTCGGTTTGTTGTGGGCTCCTATATGTGGGTGGGAGAGTAGAATGTGTGTGCACTGTGTCTCCCCAGGAAAAGGTCTGTCGGGTATCAAATTAAAGCTCAGTATACCTTGAGACTGTTTCTAATTTGAGATTCATTTGATCCTGGAATCAAAACCCAAATCAAGGCAGTGCTCAAGAATGCAGAGGAAAGCCCCTGAGACCGGGACTCAGGAAGCCTGGACTCAGTTTCTCTTCCACCAGAGGCTAGACCTGGGCCTTTGGAATGTGATTTACTTATGGAGCCTCGTTTCTTCATCTTTCAAATAAGGCTGATGAGCCAGGCTGTGGTGGCGCACACTTTTAATCCCAGCCCTTGGGAGGCAGAGGCAAAAGGATCTCTGTGAGTTTGAGGCCAGCTTGGTTTACAGATCAGTTTCCGGGACAGTCAAGGCTACACAGAGAAACCCTGTCTTGAAAAACAAAAACAAAACAAAACAAAACAAAAAAAAAAAAAAGGAAAGAAATGGGGTCGATGGATGGAGTGGGTGGTCAGTATGATGAAGACTAAGCTTCAGCTTATATCATCATTCATGCAATTGTGCCTCTTGCTCTGTTTCCCAAGGCCAGGACCCCCGAGTCTGCTGTGGTGTGACCCCTTCCTCCCTCCGTTATCTCTGGTTGATTCAGTGGTAGCCACTTGTGACAAGTCAAGTCTGTCAAAATCTTTCTCTAGGACTTTTGAATGTGAACCACAGAATGTATGAACAGTTCCTCTCTTGTGGTGGGAGCCTGTGAGAAGTGAAACTCGGTAGCCATTGGTAACCGTATTATCAGCGTAGTGAGGTATTAATGTGGATAGGATAAAGACTGGGTTCCCTGCCCCGTGAGGAAGCAGTCACACAAAAAGGAGCAACCTCTAAATGTGATGTTTGGATCGTGTCCTGGAACAGAACCCAAAACTAGGAAAGAAAAAAAGAGTGAAGCTTCGGGTAAATTCATGCGTCGACGCGACCACACCCAGTTCTGGGGACGTCTGTGAAAGCGGTTCTGTGAGAGTAACATTTGAATGAATGCACAGGCAAAGCAGATGGTCCTCCCTAGGGTGAATGGAAGGCCTGAAGTGACCCAGGGGGACGGTTTGCCCTGTTTGCCTGCCTTAGAGCAGGGACGCTGGTCTCCCCATCCTTCAGACTTGTTCTCAGGCCAGGAGTGCCATCGCCGGCCCTCCTGGGTCTCCGGGTGGCTCACTTTTTCAGATCCCGCAAGCATGCCATTGCCTCTGCCACCTCATGACAAGTCCAGTACTCAAAGGCAGAGCGGGAGGATCACATGTTTGAGGCCAGCCTCGGCGGCTACAGAGTGAGACCCTCAACAGCCAAGGGCCTGGAGCGCAATGGTAGCCACGCTGTGCACAGCGTCAGGTCCTGTCCCCAGGGCTGCCTGTTGAATGGGAAGGGCTATTGGTGACTTTCAAGTCTTTTACATATGTTCTTCCTATGTTTAACTGTTTTTTTCTATGCCACACCTTTAAAGTGGAGTTTAGCTGTAATGTGACACCAAATCTAGTTCATTTAAGAAACGGTTCATGAAGAAGACTACCCATCTTAAAGAACAGGCCTTTTCCTCCTCCTTCAAGAACATCTCTGCGTGAGTGCCCTGGACTTTAATTAGACCAGAGTTGTGATGGCTAGTCTTGGTTGTCAACCTGACCCTTCGGGAAGAATGAACCCCAGTTGCAGAACTGACTCCCTCAGCTTGGCCTGTGAGCATGCCTGTGGGGGTGTTTCCTTGGATGACCATTGGTGTGGAGGATGCAGCTCCTTCTGGGTGATATGGCCCACCAGCAGGTGGTCCTGGGGGGGGATGTAAGAAGGCAGGCTGAGGATATGCAGAGGGATTAAGTCAGTGTTCCTCCCTGGTTTCTGTTTCAGTTCCTGCCTTGCGCTCCTGTGGCGACCTTTCACAGTGATGGAGTGTGGCCTGTGAGACGGAGAAACCCTTTCTCCTCTGGCTGCTTTTGGTCATGGTGCTTGCGGCAGCAAGCGAGAAACAAACTAACACAGAGATTGGTACCTGGAATGTGAAGGACCTGACCATGTTGCATTTTGGAAGGTCATGGAAGGTTTCTTTGAGCTTTGGACTGGAAAAGTCATTGAGCACATAGACCTCAGCATGCTGTTCTTTGGGAACTTGGAAGATGAGCATGTTGAGAGAGATGCATTTGGTGGAGGTCTGGGCTGTGAAGTTTCAGATAGAAGCAAAGACCCTATCAGGGCCATTTGTACAATATATTTGAATTAATAATCTTTAGCAGTAAAACCTTTGCTTTATTGAGACAATTAGTGCTGGTTAGTTGGGGGCTGAAATGAATAAGAGACTAGCATCACTGAGGCAAAACCTTTTAGGAAGTTATTTTCTCAGGACCAGCACACAGAAGTTGGGGTCTGGTGAGGCTAAGCCTACACTCCAGTTGGCAGTGGACTTTGTAGTGTGTACAACTCTCCCACATGGTGCTGGGTTTGAAGCATGAAGTGGTCACTGAGAACAGCTGAAGCTTCGCTTGGTTCGGCAGGGTCAGGGTTCCTGAAGAAAAGCCAGGAGGCCATTGGTGAAGGGGCAGGCTCAGTTATAGTGGAGATGCCAGAACTGTGGGACAGCCACCAACACTGTGGCAGGTGTGGTTTGGCGCTGATCTGAGCCTACCAGATAAACTGTGTGTTGGGTGGCAAAGTTGGAGAGGTGGGGCTACTCAGGATATTTGGAGCTCAGAAAATCCTGAGTGAGACTATGTAGACCAGGCTGGCCTCAGACTCAGAGACATCTTCTTGTTTCTGCCTCCTGAGTGCAGGCATTAAAGGTGTGCACCACCACACCCTACTGGACTGTGTTTTACACTGCGAGAGTAATATGAAATCTTATGGACAAGTTCTGGTTTAATAGTGGTGTGTTATGTGTAAAGAAACAGGAGAGATCGTGTCAAAAAGTAATAGAATTGACTTCCAAAAAGTTGTTCCCTGGCCTCCATAGGTGGGGTGTGGGTGCACACACACAATCTTTTTTTTTTTTAAGAAAATCAAAATTGTTAGTTATCAATAAAAATTCAGTGAAATGGTTCCTGTGGTAGGATATACTCCCTCAAATATTTTACTGCAGGAGGGAAAATAGGCATCCCAGAATTTGAAGCACAGAGAGAAAAATGACAAGCGGAGGAGAGTGGAGAGTTCTGGTATCAGATAAATATGGGTTTAAGCCCCCCTCCGCCCCCCGACTTTGTGTCGTCTGTGAAGTTATTCATCCTTTTTAATGCTGCCTTACTTCCCCATCAGGACCATCTTGTCAACTTCACAGATTATTTATTTATGCTGAGACAGAGTCACATCAGGCTGGCTTTGAACTTGTGCAACGGAGGATGAACTTCGTCCATGGTCTGTGTTGGGGTTACAGGCATGGGCCACCATGTCCTGCTTATGTCATCTTGAAGACTGAATCTCGGTTTAATGCATGGTCCTCAGAAGTGTCAGGCAAGCACTCCGCCGGTTGATCTGCATCCCCAGCCCGTTACTGAGTTTTCATAAGACTTTAAGTGTGTGTGTGTGTGTTTATGAGATAAATTGCCACTCAAAATTTTATAACTTCCATGCTTAAAAGAGAACTCATTTTCTGTGACTTTTTTTTTGGGGGGGAGTGCCATTTAAAAATAAATCTTGGGCCACTGAGATGGCTCAGCTGGTAAGGAAGCTGCCCCAAGTCTGACGACCTGAGTTCAATCACCGGAATCCGCAGGCTAGGAGGAGAGCGCCAGCTGCCACCAAATTGCCCTCTGATCTCCACAAGGATGCCATGGTACAATACCTCTCTCAAATAAATATTGAATATAAAAATAAATTTCAGCTGTGCGTGGTGGCATATTTGTGTAATCCTAGCGTTTGGGAAATAGAAGCAGGAGGGTCAAGAGTTTAAGGTCATCCTTGGCTACATAGTGAGTTCAAGGGTACCTGGGACTACATTAAACCTGTCTCAAAACTACAGGCAAGCTGGGTGTGATGGCTCTTGCCTTTGATATTAGCACCAGGGAGACAGAGGCAGGTGGATTTTTGTGAGTTCCAGGCTAACCTGGTCTACAGAGTGAGTTCCAGGCCTGCCTAGGCTGCACAGTAAGACTCTGTCTAAAGTAAACAAGCAAGCAAACAAACCTCCAAAACTACATATTTGCTGATGGTCATGTACTAGACAGCATAGTTGTTTTCCAAGCCACTCCTTTCCCTTCTTTTGGTCCAACTCTGGATTTCTATAATATTTCCTGGGTATTAAAAAAAAATAAGTTCTCACTATGTAGCTGTAATTTTAGCTGAGGCTGGCCTGAAGTTTTCTTTGCAGCAAGGCTGACCTTAAACTTTGGATCCTCCTGCTTCTACCTCCTGAGTGCTGGGATTCCAGGCATGGACCACCATGCTCCACTTCCCTGGGATTCTTGCTGTTAGTTGCCTTTTGGCTTGGTTCCCAGTGACTCCTAGTAAACCAGGCTCCCTGTGTCTTCAGAGCCTTGGCTCCTATTGGTTGTTCTCCTTCAATTCTCCTATGACAAAGACCTAGGTGGCTTCTCCTTTGGTCAAGTCTTTGCTTAAACTTAACACCCTCAGCAAACTCCTTCGTCATCTACTCCAATGGTACCCTGCTGTCCTGCCTCTCTCTCTTCACTCATCTGCAACGTTTTCTTCATTGTGTCTCTCCCATCCTGGCATGTTATTACATAGCTTTTTTATTACCTGCATCTTCCCCCATGAAAGCTCTGCTGCTCCATGCGGCTGTTCCGGCAAGGCTGGCGCACTGCCTGTGAAGTGCTCTGGTTGGTGGAGGGAAGGGTTCCCAAAAGAGCTTCTATGGAAGGCAGGAGGAGTCCTGGGCTAGGTGGGGTACCTGCTGGTAGGACCTGTTCCCTCTGGCCCTCTCTCACCGACCTCTCCACAGCCTTGGCAACATCCTTTCTTCCTGATTCCTCCCCGCTGGACCCTTTTAAAGTGCTGCTGAACCTGGGACTGACCTCTCCACGCTTTCCTCAGTTCCTTGATTTAATGAGAATCTTTAAATGGAGGAATGGAGCCAAGAACAATGGCACTGAGCACCTGTTTCCTGACCTTTCTGACAGCTCAAGGATGTGGGGAAGAAGTCCCGCTACCGTTAGCCAGGGTGTTTCTGGTCCACCGTTGTGTGCCGTGTAATCCCCGTCCAGAGCCTGCCCAGAGTTCTCCTTAATCAGATCACGGACTCTCTTCTTCTCACGGGATTGGAAAATTGGTTGCATTAGCTTTTTTTCAATGATATTTTGTTGAGAATAAAATAGAAACTTATTGGATTTTAGTTTTTCTTTTGTAACAGGATTAGCACATGGCTTTAAACAATATTCGCCTTGAATTTGAAGCCACTTTGAAAGAATAAGTATTATATAATTATGATATTTATTGACTTAGAATTATCTACAATTTATAATGATGTTGATACGACCATTTATTAAGCTGAAGAAGGTGTTGTGTCAAGAGGTTTCGCATTATCTCGTGCACAGTTCTGTCACACGGGCCGTATTCATTAGCTGCTGTTGTATGACTGTTAGCCTGGTAAGCACCTACACACACACACACACACACACACACATACACACACTCCTTTCATTTAATTTTCTCAATCCTATGGCAAGGGTAATGTTATTGTCCCCATTTTGCAGATAAAGAATCCAAGGCTTAGAGAAATGTGGATAAGTGAGGGAAGCACAGGCAGGGAGTCTTAGCAAAACTGATTTCCCACAGCTTTTAGAAGCTCAAAGTCCAAAGTCAAGGATGCACTGGCTTCTGCTCTCTTGCTTCAGGTAGCTTATTCTCTTCCAGGATTACTTTCTGATGCCTCTTCCTCCTCTTATAGCCACACCAATACGATCCCATTACAGTTTGTATTGAAACAGGGTCTTACTATACAGGCATGGCTGGCCTGGAACGCGTTATGTAGACCAGCCTGGCATCAAACACACAGGACACAGGATACCCTTACCTCTGCCTCCTGGGATGCTGGGATGAAAGGTGTGAGCCACAACTCTCAGTTAACACGTTTCTCTTTAGTAAGACTTTCTCCTTTTCTGTTTCAGCTCTCCAGAGAGCTTCCTCTTGCTCACCAGTCCTCACAGTTAAATGCAGGAGCAAGCAGTGCTGGCTTTGAACCTGCAGACCTGCTCCCGCCATCTGGCTTCTGTGTCTCCCATGGGGTCAGAATTCCTGGGAAGCTTCTGCACAGGAGCCTTCCAGGCGCTCCCGTTTTGGTGGGCCTGGTTTTAATAAGTGCCCTCCGTTCCCAGTAACCACACTCAGGCAACTAACTGTTCGGTGGTCCGGGTCTCCCTGGTCTGGGTGAGTGTTGGGAATGAAGAATACTAAACAACACCCTTGCTGGCGGCTGTCCCTGACTCAGTCTTTGGAATTCTCACTTCTTTGCCCCAGTTCCAGGACGCACAACTAGTTGTCTCTGCTCTGCCTGGTTCTGGGGTTCCCCTCCCATGTGTCTATGGACAAATGCATGTTCCCAGCCCGTACAGCAGTGATGCATGCTGCTTGGTTTCTAATCCTTGCTCTGCTGCTATGAATTGCTCACGCCAATGACGATTGCACGGTGAAGAAGGGGCCCTGTAGAAGCTGGTGGGGATGCTCTTAACTGTGAAAGTTGGGTGATGTGACGTTAAATTAATTAATTTGTTTTTTTTTCCTAGATAGAGTCTCTCTGTGTAGATCTGACTGTCCTGGAACTCACTGTAGTCCAGGCTGGCCTTGAACTCTGAGATCCCCCTTGCCTCTGGCTCCTGAGTACCGAGTACCGGGATTAAAGAAAGGCATTGCTCCACCATGCTGGATTTAGTGACTTTAAATTCTTAACTTCCTGCAGTACAGGACTGTGTGGTTTCAGTCTCTTTGGACCTCCACTTACCGACCTGTAAAATGGGTTGGGAATGGTTGCTGTGTGTGTGCTGAAGAGAGGGTGTGTGGAGGAATGATGCATGCAGCGAAGGGGCAGATGGGGAAGACAGGCTTTATGTGAAACTTCCTAAGGTGTTGAATCTGCCGGGATCTAATGGGAGCTGACCACCTGCCACGAAGGAAAAATTAGTTTCTTGTGTTTGTCCTTCCTCATGTGGGGTGCCTGCTAAAGGCTTGCCACTTCGAAAGTGTCATTCTAGACCACTGGTTCTCAGCCTTCCTAATGCTGTGGCCCTTTAATACAGTTTCTCACGGTGTGGTGATCCCCACCCATAAATTATTTCTGTTGCTACTTCACAACTGTAATCTGCCTCTGTTAAGGATTGTAATGTAAATACGATCTAATATGCAGGATGGCTTTAGGTGACCCCTGTGAAAAGGTAGTTTGATCCCAAACCGCTGCTCTTGCCTGCATATTTTTGTTTGTTTGTTTTTGTTTTTTTGAGGCAGGGTTTCTCTGTAGCTTTGGAGCCTGTCCTGGAACTAGCGCTTGTAGACCAGGTTGGTCTCGAACTCACAGAGATCAGCCTACCTCTGCCTCCCGAGTGCTGGGATTAAAGACAGTAGACAAACACACACCTCACTTTGAAATAGGAAGGACCATTGTAGGGTCCAACTTAACTTCACCCGCTAGTTCATATCCACTGATCATCTAGGAGAAAACTGGCTACAGAGAGCTGGAGGTGCTCTCACCCTGGTCGGCAGAGCATTGGTAGTTGCTCTGGCTGCTTTAAAGAAGGCTGCCCCTCTCACTGGAGTGATTGGGGTGGGGAAACGGATATGGGGAAACCCTGCACTGTATTTCCTTTCTTGGCTCTCTAAGGCTTGGAATCTTCCCGGACAGAACTACCGAGGGCGCCCTCTAGAGGTCTATTTGCTGCCATTACTAAGTGAGGCTCTGCATTTAGCAGTGACAAGTTGCTGCACACAAGTAGGAGGCTACAGTATGTGGTGAGTGCAACCTGGGCTTGCAATACTATATTTTAACTGCGTCAAGATTTGACGCAGGCCTTTCCTGAGCCAGTGGCGTGCGAGGGAAATGCTTCGTAGATAGGATTCACAATAGGAATATCCTCTCTGGAATACCGACTGGGCCAGCAACGCTTAGGGAAGGGCAGAGCTTTGAGGTATTTTAAAGAGATTAACACTTATTGTAGAAGCGCTAATCACCGAGTGAAATAATCAAAGGCCAAGCTACGAGGTGTTAACAAGAAAGATTAGAGAATTGGGGTGTGAATATTCAAAACTGGGGCTGAGAAACCTGGGTACACAAAAGGGAAGAAAAGAAGTACAAGCAGAAGTGACCAGTTTCCCTGAAGCAGAAATCGTCCTTAAAACTACTTAAATGCCCCAATGCTGGCGCGCTGCTTCGTTTGTATCAGGAACACGATAAATATTAGATAGGGCCACTTCTTTATTAAAGTCCCTTGTTTAAGATATTTAAGAGGACCATAGAGAGGAAAAAACAAAGCAAAACATTCTTTAAAAAGAAAACGGAGGTATAATTTGCCTGCAGGAATTGATCACCCTTGAGTACATAGTTGCCAGAACTTTTGCAGTCAAGGATGGGGGTTGCTCAGATAATTTTCGTTTTCTTTCTGGAACGAGACAGAGCACCGGATAACCAAGGACCGAGAACCTGAAAATGAAATCAGAGCACAGGAGGAAATGGTTTGATGCCCAAGTCACCAGTGCCTACGAGATGGTTTTCTAGGAAGCGGGTGTTTGCAGAGACACAATGAGAGGGTGGTGGGGAGGGCGGGCTCTGGAGGAGGCTTCTCTGAGCACAGGGATATCTGAGAATGAAGTGCTAATTTGAAAAGGGTGAAAAAAAAAAAACAGAACAAGTCCCAAGGAGAGGCTTAAATAAATAATAAAAAAAAGTAACTATTGTATTCAGCATAGTCAATGTGGTGGTGGTGGTGGGGGAGGTCATTTAAATTGGCCAGAGCAGTTGGATAGTTGAGTCCTTGTCCTTCCTGTGTTGAATTGAGGAAGAGGAGGACAGGGACATTTTCTGGGCTTTCCTAGGGCTATTGGAGGGCAGGGAGAGGTAATTGCTGACCACGAGAGAAGTTTCTTTGGCCAAGATTGAGAGCAGCACTATCTATGGGTATAAACCTAAGTTTTTAGAAAGCACATGGATAACATATCCATGTAGTAAGACAACAGTAGAAGGTTCTCTCCAGGGCCAATGACCTTCCCAGCCCCGGGCTTTTGACTAGGTTTATAGTTCCAACCAGGAGTTCCCTGGAGTGGCGCAGGCCTCAAATCCAGTGCCAAGTGGTTGGTTGTCCCCATAACCGTCATACCGCCATGTTGCCTTCCCTCCTGGACGGTCCCTCTTGTAGCGTTTGGGATTTGCTGTCAGTTACCACTAAGGTTTTTCTCCCCCAGCGGCCCACACAGCACGTGGTGCTGGAGAACCAGCCGCAGTGAGGAAGTCAAAAGCCCTTTGGACTCCTTTGCCTTTATTCTTCTCCTTAGAAGTGGCTACTGCTGTCACTGGACTGTGGCTAGGTCTGCCTGGCATATGAATGACTATGGATATCCAGAAAAGTAACTTTGGTATTTCAAAACCAGTAAAGCGAGTGCTGGGGATTTAGCTCAGGGAAGAGAGTTTAACCTCGCATACTTAGGGCATTGGGTTTCGTCCCCCAGTACTGCAGCAAAAGCCACAACAACAGATCAGCCACATTTTTTTTTTTTTTCGAGACAGGGTTTCTCTGTGGTTTTGGAGCCTGTCCTGGAACTAGCTCTGTAAACCAGGCTGGTCTCGAACTCACAGAGATCTGCCTGCCTCTGCCTCCTGAGTGCTGGGATTAAAGGCGTGCGCCACCATCGCCCGGCCCACATGTATTTCTTTCAGTCTGATTTTCTCGCTAAAATTAGGACTTTGTGGACAGATTTATCAGACTCATTAAAAACAAACAAACAAACCAACCTATCCTTAGCCTATCTAACCATTTCCCTATTGATGAAGATTTAGGATGCTTTTAACTTACTGCCATTATTGTGGGAAAAAATGATCTAAGAAAGTCTTTTTCTAATGACCAAAATATCGTCATTATATCATTTTCAGAGAGGAGATGGCATGCCTGTCAGAGTTTGGAAAATTAAACAAGTTGTTGAACCGTACGACTCAGGGTTAGCGCTGCCCACTTCCCTGACTTCCTGGGAGCCACACCAAATCCCCCTGGGGTTCTTAAAGTCAATCATCACAAGTTTTCTTCACTAGGAGACACATTCGCTTTTCACAGACCCGAAACTAGAGTGGAGGCCAAATAGAAAAAGAAGAGTTTTCTGTGGCTGGAGAGAGAGAGAGAAACTCTAGAATGAGTAATGATGGCGTGGGTGTGGGGCTGTAGCTCACCTGGGAGACTGCTTGCTGCTTGCCTAGCGTACTCGAACACCTCTCCCTCCCCCACACTGCATAAACTGGGCTGAGTGACCCAGGTGGGTACTCTCTGCATTTGGTAAGGAGAATCCGAAAATCAAGGTCTGGCTATAGAGTGAATTCAAGGCCAGCCTGGGCTACAGGAGAATGAGATGAGAGAAGTGGGAGAGGGGGTAGGGAGGGAGGAAGTGTGTGTATGTAGGGGGGTGGGCAGGACAATACTGTGATTCCCATTTGGAAAATGCACTGGAATTTTCGTGCTTTTTAAGTCCTTGAGGTGCTTGGAAGCCTCACGATATACATCCTGGCAGCTCCTTGATGTCCTGAACCAGGCCTGTCCTCTCATCTCCTTTCTGGCTGTGTCCCATGCTGCATAGTTGCTCAATAATCCAGTCCTCCTCAGAGGAAAGCTGTCTGATAGCTCATACGCATTGTGTAAGTCCTCTCTGGATCACTATACCGAAATTACATTATTTTAATTCAGACAAAGGTTATTTTCATCCACGCTCAGAGACCAGATCTCCACATAGGACTGTCTATTGCTTTCTGCCTCTGAAGACTACATATGGTAGTAGGAGTGAATGGTAGGAAAAAAGAAACTCTCAAGATATGAACTAGGAAGCAAAAGGAAGAGTACTGTACTCTCTTAATCCCTCTTTGGTGGCTCCCATCACCTAAGGACCTCTTAGTAGGCCCTGCCTCTTAACAGCTCACAGCATGCCCCAGTATCTCTACTCTGGAGCTGTGGCTTCATTTGTGTGACTGTGATATAACACTCTGACCAAAACCAGCTTCGGTAGGAACGTGTTTATTTGCCGTAGACTCTCGGGTCACAGCCCACCGTTGAAGGATGTCAACAAGAAGACAAGCCTGCTTACTCTTTCTTGACGCAACCCCCATGACCAGGAAACTCATTCGCAGCTAGGAAGTACAGCAGAAGCCATGGAGCAGTGCTGCTTGGTGGCCCCCTCCTTACACAGCCCAGGACCACCTGCTTAGGGAATGGCACTGCCAACCGTGGGCTGGGCCTCTCTGTATCAATTGGCAATCACCGACTTACTCAACAGACCAATCTGCTCCGGGCTGTCCTTCAGTTGAGACAGTCGTCTCAGGTAACACTAGACTGTATCAAGTAGATGACAGTTAAAGCAGACTAGGATACCTGGGGATCAAACTTCCAAGGCAGGGACCTTTGGGGGATCCTACTCATATTCAGGCCATTGTGCCGCTGATGACAGTAACCAACAGTCCTGATACTTGTGAGGAAGAGCCGCACTTTAAACAGTGTATCAAATTGATAATTCTTGACTCTCTCTGCCCCTGCATTTAACAGTCGTCTAAAACATTTATTACCTGGGTCACTGGGATATCTCAGTGACTAAAAGTGCTTGTTGTACAAACAAGAAGACCTGAGTTTGGGGGCTGGAGAGGTGGCTCAGCAGTTAAGAGCACTGATTGTTTTTCCAGAGGTGCTGAGTTCAATTCCCAGCAACCACATGGTGGCTCACAACCACTTATAATGAGATCTGGTGCCCTCTTCTGGGGTGCAGGTACACAGGTAAGCAGAACACTATACATAAGAAAGAAAGGAAGAAAGAAAGGAAGAAAGAAAGAAAGAACTTAGTTCAGTTCCCACATCCTATGGTTGAAGAATTGGACTGAATTTTGACCTCTACGTGTACACACTATGGCACCCGCATGCCTGTACACACAAAAAAAAAATTAAAAAGAAATTTAGTGAACAGCATACTGTAGGTTATACATGGCGCTAGGCTCTGGGCATGCCAAGGTGAATTTGAGCACATGATGTCTGAGGATTATTCTAGAAGGTTTTTACAAAGTCCTTCTTTTGAGCTATTATACAGGCATGGCGGTAGTCATTGGGGTGATGCTAAGAGAAAAACATTGTGGGGCTGGAGAGATAGCTCAGAGGTTAAAAGCACTGGGTGTTCTTCCAGAGGTCCTGAGTTCAATTCCCAGCAACCACATGGTGGCTCAGAACCATCTATAATGAGATCTGGTGCCCTCTTCTGGCCTGCAGGTATACATGCAGACAGAACACTGTATACATAATAAATAAATAAATCTTTAAAAAAAAAAAGAACTAAAAAAAAGATGGAGGCAGAGCGAGCACAATAGGAAAGCCTGCCATATTATATATATGCATTGTGAAAAGGAGGCATTTCAGGGTCTACTTAACATAGTATTTAAAGACTGTCCCGTGTAAAATCTTACTGAAAGGTGCAAGCCCACCGGAAAGCGATCAGAAATGAGACACGCACCTTTCCTCCAAATCTTAGCCCTAAGGCTTTTTTTTAAACTAGACAATTAGTGTTTATTTTTAAGACAAGGCGTGTCACCCAGGTTGGCCTCAGCCTTCTAAGCTCTGGGACTACAGGTGTGCACCACTGCACCTGACATTGTCTCTAGAATTTTCCCCCTTCCCTGCTGCTTCTGTCCTCTGTGACCAGTCCAGGCCATGGGAATTTTTCTCAGATCACAACACACTGCCTTCCGCTTCAGTTGGGAGACAAACCCTGCACATCAGAGCCTGATGGTCCAGCATATGGAGAACTAAGCCTCATAGAAGGAAACATCGCATCTTTGTGAGTCAGGGCTCAAGCAGAGCAGAGCGCATGACTGACAACTCTTCCAGTCCAATACTTGGTAAAACTATGTGCAGAATAGATATTACAGCACTGTAGGCAGTGTGGCATCACGCTACCCTAAGACATTCTGAAATAGATTTCCCCTTCTTCCCCTCCACGTGGAGCAGACAAGCCCAGCACCTACCCAGAAAGCACTTTAAGTTAGTGAGTCATTAGGCTATGTTAAGAGGACTAATCTTGTGTAAATCTGCTCCTGCCAACAAAACAGAAAGGCTTCCATGACCGCAACTCATTTCAAGGAGAGGGTAAACATTTTAGCCAGGGCAGGGCCCTAATTCAGCAAATTTTATTTATGTCCAAATGCAGTGGTATTGGCAATGAAGAGCAATTCAGAAGTCATAACCAAGAAGATCATTGTGCAGGGCCCTTAAAGCTCCCTATAAATTTCTGCCGGTGACCTTAGAGCCACTGCTTGACCACATAGCCAAATATTTGTATTAGGTGTTCCTGTGTTTAGCACATAATTAAAAAGATGGCATTCTTTGACTCCCTCTCAAATCATTCGGCTTCTCATCTCTCTCTGGAAAAGGCTGCAGGGACTCAGAGTGTGTTTTCTAAAGAGAAACTTTACTGTGTTGCAATAAATCCAGGGGCCAGGGCATTAATGCACCTGAAGGGCTCTTAACGTGTCTGTGGTGGAGATCATCCTTCAGGCCTGTAAGGAACTTTACCTTGAGGGTTATAAATCCTTTGATAAATGGCTATAATGGAAAAAAGCTTCACCAAAGGAAACATGGACTTCAAACATAGTTAAA